AAGTATGGATGTATCCGGGTGAGCAACCGAAGATGGCGGTCTACCCCGGATGTGACGTCGTTGCGCTGCCGCTCGAGCTCCTCCTACTGGTGTATCTACGCGTTACGTCACGATTAGACCACGTGACTTCCTCAGGATATCGAGGAATCTATTTCTTGGAGCAGCAATACTGCAAGGCTCATTGACTCTGTGGGGCCTGGGCTAGAAGGTGAGGGGGCACCCCAGATACTGAGGATTGTCACATATTGTTTCGCGAAAACACCTGCATGAAGAGTGGTTTTTTCCATTCAAGGACACTTATTTGTCTTGTGTTGTGCATGTCACATATCCCTTTAAAAGGATTTATGCACTTGTTTGAGCACTTGTTGAACACTTGTGTTGATCCACATAAGGACAATCGCATAATTAGGTCATCTATATTATTGGTGTCATATCTGTTTTGAGGTATATATATGTGATATTACCATATAGCGCTCCACTACGTATATATCTATATTAGTCTTTTTCTGATGCTAAGGTACACCTATTTAGTGCTGGCTGCATAGCTTCTTCAGATATTAGCGCAGGAGTTTTCTCATATATGTTATATGTTGCACTACAATGCAAATTATTTGCTTTAGTGTGGTTGGGTGTCATTGAAAATGAATGGCACTGCAGCAAACTTAAGTGTGCATGGCGCTTTTATCCTGTGTTACTGCAATGCAAAGGTGTGAAGCTGGCATAACTCTAAGAAAGCCACCTAATCCTGGCATCCCTAGCCAAGTTTTACTGTGGCTCAAGACATCTGGTAAAAAAAATATTCTACACTTATTTTTTTTCTGAAATCCAGTATTATGAAGAGACAGTGTAGTTGGGGTTCACCTTTAGCAACATGTTGCATCCATATTTAGGTGTACCATGGTCACAGGTGCAATGCTTTGCAGGCTCCTGTGTAAAATTAAAATAAATAAAATGCATTTTTTTTACCTGTAAAAATATATGCATTTACTGTTTTGCTGATGGTAAACAGCCTTTAATAAAAGAACAAAGGGCAGTTCACTTTGCAAATGAAATGATAGTAAATAAAATGATCCAGTGTTTAGTTTGATTACTCAATTTCAAGGAAAATTAAAAAAAAAAAAAAAAATCAGGAATTTTTGGTAAGATTTAACTTGTTTGAAGTACACACGGCTTAGCCCTTGTTTACTAAGTGGAGTGATCCTTCACTTTTAACCAACAGTCTTTATTCTTTCAGTAATCCTAACCCCCAATCAATGGGACTGGAATGTCTTAATTGGCAGAATTAATCCTTTTCAATCTAAACTTCCTCTTCCGACTAACACTTTTCTTCATTAACCATTTTCAAATGATAAACAGAATAAACTGTGAATTTTACTATTTCAAAGGGAAGAATTTTTATCCCAGCTATTGAGCACTGTGTGCAGATTATCACAAAGAAACATTTTTTTAAATTGTCCCTGTGGCAATAAATATTGATATGGTGAATTGTTAAAATAAAGAGGAAAGTAGTTTAAATGTATCAATTCACTTGTTTAGGGAAAGAAAGGAAGAAGAGAAGTGATTGAAATATTCCAGTTTACCAATTCTCAGATATGGTGGCTGCATTCTCTTTCTTTTTAAGCATTTTTTTCATTTATTTTCAGCTTGTGACATGGTCAGAAAGTCTGATGTTTTTCAACAGATCAACCCATTCTGCAGATATAGCAGTTAGAGGGTAGAGACAAACCATTAGCACTAATAGATGTGCTTACAATGATCAGGTTTTAATTATTAATGGAAAACCTTTATCCCTAAAAAAAACTGTTGTAACTGCCTAAAAAGCGTGAGCTGGAGTTTGGCTTTATTTTTAGTGTATCTAAATCTGCTAGTGCATCTAACACCCCCCCCCCCCCTTCCAGACTAACAATGCTGCTGTCCAGAGGTGTCTCTGGTGCTCCTTCATCCAGAGTGTATGCACTCTAAGGCAAAAACTGTGCCACTGGTCAAAAGTGAAAATAGAGGGGGAACCTAAAAAAGAAAAGCAGCCATCACATTTAAGGATTGGTAACACTGCAACATGACAATTTTTTTTTTATTTGGCTTAATACCACTTTAAACCAGTTTTTCTATTATCTCCATAAGAAGCGAGTGATATGGGATCCAAAAGCATCCAAACAGGAGGGACTCTGATAATAACATACTGGATTTGTCTTTTATTTCATATGGGCTAGTCATAGATGGGGAGATATTTCCCTGACTACTGTGAAAGATTGCCTAGGTTTTGTGGAGAGTTTGCACTTTCCATGATGATAAAGAAATGCTGATTATTGCCTCCCCTTGGTACCCTTAAAGCAGTATTAAACCCAAAAGCAAACATTTAATATATTGCAGCTTACCATTTCTTAGATGTAGTGGTTGTATTAGTTTTCTTTTTTAGGCTTTCTTTCTTCTATTTTCATTTGGTGATTCAACCAGTAAGTCTTTTTTTCAGAAGCGCAAGCTCTCCAGCAGAATGTATTAGTTTACATGGACAGGAGAATCCATTTACCACTGGCAGGGGTGATTAAAATGACCACCTTTTATTTATTCAGGTAAAATATTTATCCCAAATGGAAAAATAACCTTGCTGTAACTGATTATAAAGGTGTGAGCTAGAGTTTGGCTTCAGTTTGTTGTTCTATTCAAATTTGCTAAATACATTTAATGCTCCCCTCGCCCCAAACTGACAATGACACTGTTTGCTGTGCCTCCCGTGTTCATTCATTCAGAGCTGTGTCTCACTAATACAGGAGGTGTGTTATTGGCCAGATCACCTGCTGAAAGCAGAGGGGGAAAAAGCTGAACAAAAGAAACTGATGAAGCCATCACACCAATGATTGCTAAGCTGCAAAATAATACCTTTTTTGGTTTTGGGTTTAATACTGCTTTAAACCTGCACCTTAGCATCATATTGGAGCAGGCTCCAGCCATCAGTGATCAGCATATACATAAAAAGAACAGCGCTTGACATGCAAAATCACAGTGAAGCAGTTCATGCAAAGACTTTGGTCTCAGTAGAAAGTCTTGACCTTTTCAAAAATTTGTTTTGTAATTGATTGAAACTTGAAACAGTTTAACGTTAGGTCTTGCCCTTGAAGAGAAACTCCAGCACTTAAGGGAAATATTAAAGCTTAGGCTGGCCATACATATACAATTATCTTCCAATTTTCTGCTCAATTTCCTTTAGATTTACCTTCAACTGTGTAGTGCAAGGGTCTGCCTAATTGGATACAACTGAAAGTGTTGTTTAGGTTTGTCTTCTATTATATGGTTTTTGGTAAATCTAAACCAAAAATCTCCAGATAATTGTATAATGTATGGCCAGCCTTAATCACCTTTTTCTGCCTCTCGAACATTCCTCACAGACAGTGGGACACTCCCTTAGTGAGTGGTGGTCACATTTGGAATAGCCGAATATCAACACTATGAGGAAGTGTTAGAGCTTTGCCAGTCAGAACAACCCAGCTATTGGGTGCAACAGCAGGGATTGCAAGCTATGGCAGGTTTGTGCACACACACACCTTGATGTCTGCTGTTTACACCTGACAGCAGTTCCCACCTTGCCCTCCCCCCCCCCCCCCAACCCATGACAGATGCATTAATGATAGGACCATTTTAATATGTGCATCACTGTAAATAATGTGTTAAAGCAGGGCTCAAAATTTCAAGTCCTTAGCTACTAGCCAGGCCTTAAGAGTTGTTCGCCATCAGCTACCCCACCCAAACCATACCCTGCCCCTTCCTAAATTCCACCCCTAAACATGCCCTCATAAATTATCTCATGAAATGACACTGTTAAATGTTTTATGCAGAATATGTATTAACAACAAAATTTAACAATATTAACATAAAGCAATGTAAATACCTCCTCCATCCTATGTCTTCCTCCTTCTCCAGTCCCATCTCCTCTTCTACCAGTCCCCCTTTACCATCAGAGCTCCCCTATACCATCAGAGCCCACCTGTACCATCAAAGTCCCCCTGTAACATCAGAGCCCCACTGTGCCTTAAGAGCTCTTTTAACAGCAGACTCCCCCTGTACCATCAGAGCCCCCTTTACCATCAGTGTCCCCACTTACAGAAAGAGCCCTCCAGTGGTGCTGGAACTTTGCATGGCAGGGAAGGAGAGGGGGAAAGCAGAAAACAGGTGTGGCTGGACCTGGATGGTGGGGAGGAGTGAAAGAAGAGACTGAAGCAGAATAGAAGATCTAGACTAGAGAGGAGAGATTGTCGGGGAAGAAAGTGCAGCTGCAGCACAGAGATCTAACCTGTCAGATGAGAACTAGCATGTCAGGGAGTGGAGGTTGGTGCGGCGGCACCCTGTACACAGGGCTGGCCCACACACATTTTCCCTAGTGAGAAACTGGAAACCGAGGCTGAGGGAGGAGAGCAAAACACTGCAAGTGAGTGGGGGGAGAGGAATGGAGGAATGGGGGAATGGAGAGGGAGACTGGTGCACAGGTCCGGGACATGGAGCGCTGGGGTCTGTCTACATGGCTGCCTGTGCTGCCTTATGCTGGCGCCAGCTCTGCCAGTGACTCACCCCCACGTTATTTCCACTCGTCAAATGCGAGCAGGCGAGTAGAAATTTGAAAGTCAAAACATTTATGTAAACACATAAAAAAAACTTTTTTTTTAAAAACACCTTTTTTTCTCAAGTGATCACATACCCTTTGTTCTCAGGTACATAAGCTGTAAATACCTGTAAATCAATTTCTCAGAAGTTCACCTTTGTTTCTTCATGTAAAAAATATCTGGAGTAAAATGGAACCTAAACCACTGATATTTTGTACTGTGTAATGGGTGTTATAAATACCTCTTTTAAAATACTGAATAAAAATATACCAGCCGTGCATACTTCCGATAAAGATACACACAAAATGGCAAATGCAGGGAACTGTAAACTGAACAATCACATTTTTTATTTCACAAAACATGTCTAAAAATAACAAGAGCAATTTTCCTGAAAACCAGGACACTTACCAGTCGCCCCAGGTTGTAGTAACAGTCTGGATATTTTTTTCTGTATTTGATAGCAGTTAAGTAGCTTTTTTCAGCTTCTTCAAACCGTTTAAGGCTGTTCTGCACAATGCCTAAATTCATCCATGCAGCTGAAAAATCAGGCCTATAATCACAATATAAAGGACATACATTGAATAAGGCCAGCCACATGAATATAAAAAAACAAAAAGCACAGTTGCCATCAATTTCAACCTATTTACTTACTGGATTGAGACAGCTCGTGACAACAGCTGCTCAGCCTCATGGAGTTCTTCTTTCTCTTTTAGAATGTTGCCAAGATTGTTCATTGCATGAACATATTTTGGATTTAATCTGGAAGTTTCAGAGATTTGATTAACAATATGACTATGGCTACTAAAGGGTGACTCAACAGATACAGCTATTCCCCACTTGGGAAAAAAAGTATTTAAAAAAAACAAAGTAATTGTATGGTTAACCTTAGTTTAAAGAATGTACATATCACTTATATGGAAAATCTAGCACAAAACTTTTCAACAATAACCTAAGACACATTTTAAGAGAAGGTCTTGTTTTCTTTTTAAAGGAAGCTCAGAGATGTCAGGCAGGCACCCGTGTTTCTACATTGTCAAACATATTTCATCATTTCTCCTCAGCATGCCATAGATGGCCAGGATTGGTACTGAAAAAAACTCACACCCATGATGCCTTGGGAGCTTTTTTGGTTCTACTCTATGTAATCAGTTCTGCAACAGGAGTGAAAAACCACTTGCCCTCCAGAGGATTTACCCCCCTTCCTGACCAGGCCATTTTTTGCGATACAGCCCTGTGTTACTTTAACTGACAATTGCGCAGTCATGCAACACTGCATCCAAATGACATTTATGTCCTTTACTCCCCACAAATTGAGATTTCTTTCGGTGGTATTTGAGTGCCTTGCATTTTTTTTTTCGCTATAAAGAAAAAAACAAATTGACAATTTTGAGAAAAAAACAATATTTTGACATTTTGCTATGAAACATGTCCAGTAAAAAATCCAAAAAAAAAAATCAAATTTTGTCATAAATTTAGGCCTAAATGATTTCTTCTACATGTCTTTGCTAAAAAAATTCCCAATATGTGTAAATTAATTTGTTTACAATACAGTTATGGCGGTATATATACTGGAATTTTATTTATATTTTTAAATACTAGTAATGGCGGCAATTAGCGACTTATAGTGGGAATGCGGTGGGAATTCTGATACTGTGGAGGAACTAACAGTCACTGAAAATCCCAGTGACACTAATACAGTGATCAGTGCTAATAAAAAGCACTGACACTGTACTAATGAAACTGGGCAGGAAGGGGTTAACATCTGGGGAGTTCAAAGGGTTAACCGTGTGCTGTTTTACTGTGTAAGCACGCTGCTTTGTATTGCTCTGCTGTGCTATGCAGAGTTATACAAAGCAGAGTTCTGGAGCTGACAGAGGAGAGATCTGTACTGTTTACATACAGACCTCTCCCCCGTCACTGTTCCTTGGCGATCGCTGGGTGTGGGCGGGGAATCTCCGTCAGGGACCCGGTGATTGACAGCTGAAGCCGCCAATGGCGGCACAGGTAGGACGCGCGCACTCCCTACGTGGAAATACAAAATCACATATATATATATATATATATGTATATATGTGTGTATGTAAATTAAGGAGGCATAGACACAATGTAAGGCAATCACAGAAACCCGCACTTTCTTATTTGCCAGTAAGCCAGGAAATTACAGTGGTGGGCCAATAGGAATGTATGGGGATAGGAGATTGCAGCCTTCACCCGGATGTGTCAGAGCTTTCCCTGTTCATAATGGCCTGCCATTCAGATAACGAGGGGACAATAAAAAAGTTGCTGTAACTACCTTTAGGTACTTTTATGTGCCTATACTTTATACCTTTAAGTATCTCAATTTTTAAAAATGACAGAGTATCTTTAAGGGTAAAATCAATATTTCAGCATTTTCAAATGGAAGTTTCAAATACTTATTAAAGTGGAACGTAACTTCTGATATAAAAAAAACAGTGAGCAGGCATGCTTTCATTGCAGAATGGACATGCAATGTCTCTTTTGCAATAAAATGACTCCACCTGCCTGCTCGCTGTCTTCTCTAGCGCTGTAAACTGAATTGCACACGAGAAGCTCAACTTACAGAGTTGGGCCAGTCTCTGAGTGCCGGGACGACTGGCTCCTACAAATGTGCAGGAGTGATGTCATATTGTGCCGGCCAATAAAGAGGCCTGAAGACCGGCACTCCGAAGAAGGTGGTGCCAGTGAAGGACCATTGGACAGGTGAGTATTAATACCTTTAGTTCTGCTTTAAGTCAAACTATAAAGATTTTCAGCATTTATTCACTCTACTCTAAAAACTGGTAAAAGCAAATATAAAAACAAACAGTTACACCCGCTTAAGTGCCTTGACATAATTGAGATTAATATTTACAATATTCCCAAATGTGTCAAGAGACTATGATAATAAACCCTACATAAACCTGATGAAGTGATACTCTGGAAGCCCCAGGTACGAAGGAAATAATCCCACATAAGTGGTACATAAACTGTTCCTGTTTTACGTGTAGTCTTCTCTCCTCCAGAGCCTTTCAAAGCACATAGATCTAATGGCACTTCTCAACTTCCAGGAGGTGTGCTTCTGACATCACACACTGCACCTCATGGAGCAGAGCATAATTTGACATAATATGAGTGGAGGGAATAGGCACATCCCCTCTACAGTGTCTCACTGGGAAACAGTTTGAATCTATCAATCACCTGCTGTGTGCTAGAGAAGGAGCGGGAGGGGCAGCAGCTGTCACCATGAGGATCCACACTAGGTGTTACAGATTGAGGCAAGTACATTTTATGTGAGGATATGCAAGGTTCATTTTTCCTTTCAAAAATGTATAACTACTTTATGGTGATGTACAGTAATTGTTTCGTTTTGATTGTATTTCATCTATTTTAGAGTGCCATTCAACATGAAATTTGACAGCAAAGGGAATTGTGATTCAGATGCTAAAAGTCTGCAAAAGAGAAAAACATACTAACACTGTCTGAAATGTGTTATGTAAAGGCTGTCTTCCATATTATCGATTACTATTGTTAAAAAATGAAAACCCATAATGTTACCTTACAGCCTCTCTGTAGAATTTAATGGCTTCTGTTTGCTGGCTGCGATCTGCTAAATTTTTACCTACATTGTAGTGCACCTGCAAATAATCAAACATATCTCAAATTTGACAATTCATACACTCTAAGTTGTTAAATATTTGTACATATAAATCCCATTATCAGACTTGTGATACACACTGTATATTGTACGTACATACTTTCATTGGTGCTTTCATTCAGTACATTACCAGCTTTAAACCAACTGCCGCTTGCTTGGGCACAAACAAAACAGCAATAGTCCACAGTTAATGCATAAAAATTCACAAACTGACACTCATTTGCTTGAGAGATCTCCAGTCAAGCACCCTTTGCACCACTAGACAGGATTAGAAGTAAAAAAGCCTGATTAATTGGCACTCTTGTTTATTTAACTGCTTAGTTTGAGATGTGGTTTGGCGACCAGGAACATTGGCTGCTGCTTCCATGACCAGAAGAAAATGATTGAAAACAGTGTTACAGTGTTCTAGAACAATTGGGTATGGGTTATTCTGTTGAAGATCCATTATCTTTTTCTTTCTCCCAAAAAACTGCTTATGTTCTCTAAGCTAGGTTAGGCAAAGAAAACAAAATAAGCCTATTCTTGTGTTCCAAAACTCAATTGCAGTTTCATACGATATTGCGTGTTTTGCAAATTAGGACATAAAGTGTTCCAAATGTTGGTATACTATCTGTATTGGTAGCAAAAATAAATAAAAAGCCCCTTCTCTGTGTGATGGGTTTGTTTATAACACTGTAGCGGTCATGTCCTTCACCATCCCTCAACTGAATACTATTCATTTTTCTAACATTTCACACAATAACATTACAAAAGCAGCCCTGCACACTATCAAATACAAGTTGTGCTTTACCAGTAACAAAGTAAACACTCTGTGAGAGGCCCCCTAAAAATGAGGTTGATACTGTTTAGCTAAATGTCTCTTAGACCTCATTCAGACAGCTGATAAGGGTCATCTGCTTTCCAAAATTTGTGTATACTATATATGCAGTGGCTATAGCACAGGTGTTCAGGATTGTGGCCAGCAGCCTGTACAAATCAATGGCAGACTTACAGATGTTACGGCTGGTCAAATGTAACCATGTATCAAGCTGTTGCATAAAATTAAGGACAGATGAGTGGAAAAAAACCTGAAAAACAAATAAAATAAATAAAACTGGTCTACCATACTGCCAGTACTTGTCTCTCTGGGGACCAGTATTGCTTGCTTAATTACAATATTGATCTATGTAGTGTAGCAATACTCCTAACCGCAGAGCTGAATACTCTCCCTCTGCTTGGTTATTTCATGAAAATTTCCCACAACAAAGGGCGGACTGACAACTCATGGGGCCACCGGGCAATAAGAGTTAATGGGTCCCCCTGTGTCTCCACTTACACTAAAGCCAAAGCCACACCCACACAACACCCCACCTACATATTGCAGCTGAGCTGCATATAAAGGGCATTAAAAAGAATTTAAAAAATAAAACGTTGTGGGGTCCCCCCTCCATTCATACCAAGCCCTTTGGGTTTGGTATGGGTTTTGAAGAGACCCCCCCATGCCAAAATTAAGAACAAATGGAGTGGGGTCCCCCCCCCAAGATCCATACCAGAGCCTTATCCGAGCATGCAGCCCGGCAGGTCAGGAAAGGGGGGAGGATGAAAGAGCGCTCCCCCCTCCTGAACCATATCAGGCCACGTATGCCCTCAACATGGGGGGGTTCCCCCCCTAAGCACCTTGTCCCCATGTTGATGGGGACAAGGACCTCTTCCCCACAACCCTGGCCTGTGGTTGTGGGGGTTTGCGAGCAGGGGGCTTATAGAAATCTGGAAGCCCTCTTTTGCCCCCAGATCCCGGCCACCCCCCCACGTGAATGAGTATGGAGTACATGGTACCACTACCCATTCACACAAAAAAAAAAAAGTGTAGTGTGAAAAAAGACAGGAGACAGTCTTTAACAAGTCCAAAGTAGATCCAATGTCAATCACGATGCCCGACGTTGCCGCTACCCGAAAAAAAAAAAAACTGTCTCCTGTCTTTTTTCACACTACACTTTTTTTGTGAATGGGTAGTGGTACCATATATCCCATACTCATTCACATGGGGGGGTCTGGGATCTGGGGCCCCTTACTAAATGGGGCTTCCAGATTCCGATAAAACCCCACCCACAGACCCCCCAAAACCATGCCCAGGGTTGTGGGGAAGAGGCCCTTGTCCCCATCAACATGGGGACAAGGTGCTCTTGGAAGGGGGGGGGAGCCTTCTCTGCCCCAAAACTCCCCCCCCCATGTCGAGGGCATGTGGCCTGGTATAGTTCTCGCTCACTAGTCCCCCTTCCTGACCTACCGGACTGCATGCTCGGATAAGGGTCTGGTATGGATGGACCCCCACGCCATTTGTTTTTTAAATTTTGGCGTGGGGGTTCCCCTCAAAATCCATACCAGACCGGAAGGGCTTGCTATGGATGGAGGGGGGGACCCCATGCCATTTTTTAAATTATTTTCTTAATTATTTTTTTAATTTCTGGCAATTCTTTCTTTTACATTCAGCTGTCAGTGGGAAATCCTACTGACAGCTGAAACATGCACGCAAGGTTTTCACTACTAAAATGCCACATGACTTGATAAGAAGCTATGAGCCCAACCCGACTTTAACAGCTTGTTTATTAGATGAGAATGTCCCTCAATTTTGGCCACCTTAATAATTAAATGATGGCCAGGTGAGGTGTTGAAATGCATGTACTCCATGGTACAGTGTGCATCTGTCTGCCCCAGGAAGGAGGCCCACAGCAGCCAAGAATGGAGCAGACTATGCTTATAGCTGCATCAACATAAGGAATAGTAGTCTGCACTATAATCTGGCTTTGCTCACATGGCTGCAAACGGAACAATGTTGCAAATACCACCACTGGCACTCTGCAGGCAGATTGATACATAATGGTAAATGTTTAAATTTTAACCCTTTGAACAGGCTTACAAGATGCATATGTACTTCCTGTATACAACAACATACACAGATACACACTGCTTAGGCTGCATGAAGTGTTAAAATACTTAATAGGAACACATGACAAAAAAAAGTATTAAGCAATAGTAACAAACTGCAACGGGGCTGCCCCTGGGCTGTAACAGAAATTATGTACTACCAAAGGAGGGTTCTATGGGTGACAAATGAAAAGTGTATATTGCTTTAAGAACAAAATTATCCACACCGCTTTGTAAAGTTGGGAAAACTGTAATGTGTCAATCACAAGCTGTGTGCTGGAGCGCCCTCCCCTGCCACCTTTTTTCTCGTTGTCAGGAAAACTTGTCAGAAGTGACTCATGTACTGTAGATAGCAGAGGAACAGGGCAACAGACAGAAATGACACTAAGGGCACTGGATTGAGAGAGGTACACACTATATAGGGATATGCTTTGTTCATATTTCATGGTTGAGGCTTACAATCACTTGAACGAGCAAAGTGCAGTAGCTTAATAAAATAAATCTGATTAGATTAAACTGAAAATTGACTACCCTTTGCAAAATATATTTGCTTTGAGCTACAGGTTTCAGAACAAAAGGGCTGTTAAAAAGTAAACCCAAAAGATTTAAAGCAGAAATAAAGATTTATTTTTCGATAGAGTAAGGAAGGATTATAACCCCTGTAAGTTTTTTTGCCATCTGTGTCCCTTTTAGAAGATTTCCCTTTACTTCCTGTCTCATAGTTAACACAGGAAGTGAGAGAAAATCCCTCTAGTGAGGGAATCCCTGGTTGTCACAAAAAACTAGTATCCCCATTCGAAGATATCCCTGCTATTCCTGTTTTTGGGACACCATAAATTTGCGATTTTATTTTACTTTCACTTTTAGTGATAATGGTAAACAGGACTAATAGAGATGGAAAATCTCCCTAATGGGGGTACAGACAACAATACAAACCTGACAGATGTTTCAATCTCTCTCCACTCCACCGAGTGCAATCAGTATACTTACTTTAGCATTTAATGGACAAACAAAAAGGGCACTTTGAAAGAGAAGTTCTTCAGATTTCCACTCGTTACTTCTCTGGACACAGCGTATCATGTTGGTGGCCAAAAGTCCCAATACCGTCAGAGTCAAAATTTTCTTTAAAAAAAAAAAAATTATGAGAAACAATGACAACTTACAAGTTTTGTTTATGTTTTAATAAATTTGATACAACAGCGTACTATAAAGCTGTACATCTCCTGCACCTCTGTAAAAGTGTAAATCTAAATGACAGGAACCCACTAGAAAGAATAGTCCCTGAATCTAAGACAACAAATTTGTATATACATGGTACTAGAAAAAAAGGGTATTTTGACTTATCTGTAATTTCCATATCTTAACAGTACATGATGGATATTTGTAGACCCTGGGTTACAGCCTGCTACCTTCAGGTAACTGGACACACTCCCTGGAGGCACCCTTCCCCACTCCGCGAGACCTTTTTTTTTTTAGCAAACAATTCAGGATACAGGAACAGGACTGAGGGGGTGGCCTGTGCTATACTTCAAAATAAGGAATTTAAGATAATAGCAATTTTTATTTACCTGTAATCGTACAGCACAAGACACAAGCTGGATATTCATAGACCCTGGGATATCCCCAAGCAATGATTCAGAGGGGGTGGGCAACAAGGCAAACAGAACAGTGCCAACAGGCTCAAAAAAACAAGGGTCAGTGACCCAATTTCAACTGGAGTGCCACTGAAAGGCTGATTTGAAAAGACCTGCACATCCACCTGGTAGAATTTGAAGACGGTATGAACCGAATACCAGGTGGCAGACTTACACAGATGGGCTTGATGTTGGAAAGCCCAGAAAAATTCCACTGATCTGGTGGAATAAGCATGTGGAGGTACTGGGACTGCATTGTCCACAGGAACATATGTCTTCACAAGGAGTTGGCTTATTTACCTAGCAAAAGTAGATTTAGAAGAAGGGTGTTATTGACAAGACCCTAGATAGAGGCTGACCCTGACAGCTCTGACAACATTCAAACAGCTGAGGACAAGGACCTCATTAAGGTGGAAGGATAAGACTACCTTAGTTAGGAAGGAGAGTCATGAACACAAGATCAATTTATTCTGGTAAAGAATCAGGAAAGGCTCCTGGCAGAATAGAGCCGATAACTCAGACATATGCCTGACAGACGTGATAGCCACCATGAAGGCCACTTTGCAGGATAGATCACCCAAGAAGAGCTACCTAGTAGGTTCAAAAGGACAGTTTCTGCAGGGCAGAAATAACAAAATTTAAATCCCAAGGAAGCACAGGCCATTTTAATGGGGGTCCAATCCTTGACTAAAAGCTCTAACAAGGAAAAGTGAGGCCAAAGCCTTCTGGAATAGGATGGATATGACCAAAACCTCACCCTTAAGACTACGTAAGGCCAAATTCTGGTCAAGCCGCAGCTGTAGGGAGACCAGAATATGGGCTATAGAGTCATCTCTGGGGTTGAAGAGCCTGTGTTCATACCAGGAGAAAGATAATTTCCAGATATAGTAGTATCCTTTGTGAAGTGGCTTTTCTGGCTCTGAGTAAGGTAGGTATGACGGATTCACAGATACCTGTCCTTCAAGACCTGGGCTTCAACAGCCATGGCATTAAAGCAGGTAAATGAGAAACTGGATGGACCAGTGGGCCTTGAGACAGCAGATCTGGCCTATTTGGATGAGGTCAAGGGCCATCTCCAAGAATCTTGAGTATGTCTGTGAACCAGGATCTTCTGGGCCAGTTTGGCGCACTGAGAAACACGGATTTATTTTCTCTATTTTGCAAAGCAATGGAGAAAAGATCCACACTGAAGGAAAGGCCTGAATGGAGTGCGGGGAATTACCAGGGTATCTGACTTCAGTGCTAGAGGATCCTTGGTTCTGGGCACACAGAGGGATAAATTACTTTTGAACCTGGAGGCCAGGATGTCTGGAAGTCCCCCCATTTCTTACATAAGAGACTGAAGATGTCGGGATGAAGGGACCACTCGCACTGATTCATGTGGTGATGGCTGAGAAAACCTGCCTGTCAACTGTCCATTATCAGAATGTGAATAGTAGAGATTATTGGACACTGGTTCTTCTCCCAGAGGAGAATCAGACCCACTTCCTTTAAGGCTGCTTGACTCCTAGTACCCCCTAATGGTTGAGATTGGCCACTGATGTAACACTGTCTGACTGCACCCCGATTGGGTGTCCCTGAAGAAGAGGGGCCCAGTAGGGCAAAGCTAACATTATTGCCCTGAGCTCCAGGATGTTGATAGGGAGCTTTGCTTCCCTTGGAGACCAGATTTCCTGATCTGTTATCACCTTCAATGAGCATGGAATTTCTTCAGTACAGAAAAAGAAAAAAAAAACTCGAGAGGGAGTGTAATTGTGCCAGGCCAACAGCAGGTTGTGCTGAAGAGGCCTACAATGGAACTGAGCATAAAGAAAAGTCTTAAATGGGGCTACCAAAAAGGCCCAAGACCCTCATGGAGAATCTCACTGGGGATGTCTTTTTGATCTTAAGGTCCAAGCATGTGATCTAAGGGACACAAGTTTGTCTGCCAGAAGGTTGTGCTTTGGCCGTGTCCATAATGAAGAATCTAAATAGTCAACTGGACCTTTGCAGATAGTTCTGATGAGGATGAATCTTTCATAAGACAACGGTCTAGGTACCCTATTACCTGAATACCCTGAGTTCTTAGTAGGGCAAACGAGTGCAAACACCTTTGTAAACAATTTGGGAGCTAGAGATAGGCCAAATGGCAGTGCAACAAATTGAAAATTTGGCTCCTACAATGAAGCACAGAAACCGCTGATGAGGTGGGTAAATGGGAATGTGCAGGTAAGCATACTGGATGTCTACTGATACAAGATATTTCTCTTGTCTGATAGAGACAATTACCGACCTTGCTGATTCCATGCAAAAGTTTGGAATATACAGGGATTAGGGATTTTAGGTCTAGAATAGGATAAACCTGTCCTCTAGAGTAGGGGTCTCCAAACTTTCTAAACAAAGGGCCAATTTACTTCCCCCTCAAACTTTTGCGGGGGTGAACTGTGGCCAGTAGGAGTACAAAATGCCCATCGGTTGGAGTAAAGAGTGCCATAGGCTTGGTGTTTAGTGGGAGTAAAAAAATTGCATCATTGGGGTCAGTGGGTGTAATAGTGCCCCATCATTGGTCTCAGAGGGAGAGATAGTTCCCCATCTCTGGTGTTTGGTGGGAGGAATAGTACCCCATAGTTGGTGTCAGTGGGAGGAATAGTGCTTCATTTTTGGTATCGGTGGAATAAATAGTGCCCCAAGGGTCTGATAAAAGCAAGCAAAGAGCCACATCTGGCCCAGGGGCCACAGTTTAGAGACCCCTGCTCTAGAGGAAGTTGAATAACCGCTCCATGAAGAAAAAGGTGGTTCAGGGCAGATAACAAATCTGGTGCTTATTTAGATTTTGACTGGTTTGAGAGAAGAAATGTTGTAGTGTTTGAAACTATTTTTTAACCCTTGGAAACAACCGATTTAGCCTATAGGTAGAGAGTGAAAGGCAAAGTTTGTAATTGTTCTACCAGAACTTTATACCGGAATACATGATCCTGTTAATTGTCCAATTAGCTGCAGTTTAACAGAGATTGCAGCACTACCTAGTTGCAAAGCCGGGCCTGCATAAGCAAAGAGAGCTTTCAAGAGCATGTAAAATTTTCTGTCTGTACAACTTTTAAAAAAGATACATCTTCTATAGCGACAGTAAGATGTTTACGTAAAACAGATAAGATAGGGTCAACTACAAGAGCAGTTCAATTTTTAGGGATAATTTTCCATAATGCAGCAGCATCCACACACATAGGACACCCAATATTAGAGGTGATTTATTCTTACAAAGCAATATACCTTTGCACACTGGTACTGGCTAACATGACCCAAGTACTGATCGAGAGGGACAGGGGAGGGGCAAATGAGGATGCTGTGCAGGCACCGGACATCCTCCTTATCAACCAATTATATCAGTGCTTGTTAGGATGCCAGTGGCTGGCCCACTTGGTGCCCAAGGCTGCAATGCTGCACAATGAAAACATATGGCTTGTGTAACAAAAAGGCAGGCTTGATTCAAGGCATCCCTGAGGAACCCGGAAGGCACCCCAGGGTACCTAGGTACCCAGGTTGAAAAAGGCTGGGCTACAGTATTAATCTAATAACAGCACAATCTGGTTTTATCTGTCCATGTTGCTGGTCCCTTTATATGTCAAGGCTTTGACCATCATGGTGGGCATATCCCAAGAGGGGTTTTCAGGGTATGGGAACCATAGGAATGGACCAAGGTACCTTGTGGCTAACTACATACCTAGCACTCAGTGCCAAGGTGAGTGGCCATGAAGGATTGAGTGCTCGAAGGCCACACAATGTGGGATCCAGGTACAGTTCCTATGGTATTATCAAGGTTACACCAACCTGGATGCTGTGCTTCTAATAGAAAGCAGTAAAAAGTTGATTGAAGAATCCAAAATAAAATAAAGAACACGAGTTAAGCATAGAAAACTTCTCCAAAAGGGAGAAGAGGTCCATTACCTACGGAAACCACCAAAAAAATTAAGGTCTCAGATTGGGGTAGGGTTACAGGGGTACACCCAACCAGGTTCTGCGATCTCTCAACTTACGGAGACCATTGCAAAACTGAACCAATACCAACACTGAAAATATACAAATATAGCCAAAACCTTAGATCTTAGTTATATATTACTTTATTTTGGTATTTTGGCTACCTTTCTGCCCTTTATTTTTATGCAAAAAGATTACAGAATATCTACTCATCATGATTAAAAAGCAACTCCGGTTTACATGAAAAGTCAGTGAAATAGGAAAGCTATGCAAGAAACACTGCTACTGCTAAAGTCAAAGTCTATTGAACTTGCTGTTGAGGCTCAATGTTCTGTGAGACTTCTCAAGAGGGAGCAGTAACCTGCTTCTTGACCAACTGCAGAAAGGACTAGACAAAAACCAGAAGAGATGGGCCATCAGTTTTGTATGTATGTGTAAGCACAGGGGGAATTTGTTGTAAGGCGTAGGGGAGAGGAGCACTGCAACTAAAAGGAGAGGCTACTTCTTGTGGTTTCTGAGACATTTTTGGAAAGTGCATCTAAACTTTGTCACTATAGTAAATTTTTTAAGTCAGCATGCCTATAAAAGAACAGCCTAAAATATACTTTTCCTGCTGCCTGTGCTGCAAAACACCCCTCCAATCACCCCAAAAATTTCTGCTGAAGTCATCCTTAATGGCATGAAGGTCAGCAGGAAGATCGAGCAAAAGTTGTGGAGGACTCAGGAGGCTGACACTCCTAGAAGTGTCAGTTTCCCTGCAGACCTTGGCAGTAGATTTCTCAGAATCGGACTAGTGTAAGGCAATGAAGACAGCAAGAAATGTAAGTATTGAACATGTTTTTTTTTATTTAGTTTACATCTAACTACCCTCTGATCTGATCCACGTAGACAGAGAAGGACAGATCCCCTTTTGCTTTTAATTAGCAGACCAGATTGGATCGTAGGTAGGCAGGTTTAAAGGGGTGAATGAAAAACAGACAGGCAGACATGATCAGACCCCCTTTGTATGAGAGGAGTCTTACACTAAATGTTTCCTTTTTATCTTGTGGAGATATATAATATTTACTGAAGTTCACTTCACCTCTAGTCTGCTAAAAAAAAAATAAACAAAAAAAAAAGAAAAAAAAACCCCCCACAACCCTGATCTTAAACAAACAAGAGTTATTTTAATGCCACAATACTATTAAATCCTAAATTATTATGTTATTGCTTTAGTAATCTGGGTAGTTTCTAACCCTCTTTCCAGTATATTTAGATGGCAGTGGAACAGAACAATCCTATGATAAGGTCCAATTAAAAAAAAAAAAGAAAAGAAAAAAACAAAATGCTTACCATTACATATTTAAACGAGAAGTATGGGCTTATTTTTTCTCCCAATTTTACTTACCTAGGTGGATGCAGGATCGGTCCGATGCTGCATCTGTCCCCCGCCGGCTCTAAGTGTGAGAACTCAGCGATCACATGACACAAGTTCACAGCTGCTATGAGCAGAGAGCAGTGACTGTCAGCCACCGCTTTCAGCTCCCCCCCCCCCCCCCAGCGCTCACTGGAGAACTGGGCCGTGGAGGGGGAGGGAGCGGCTGGCTCAGGCTCTCAGCGGATTGCTGAGAGGCTAAGCCAGGTGCCGCTTCAGACTCTGGGGTGGATCCTGACTTTGAAGTCGGGATTTTCCCCCAGCCTGGATCAGCTGAGTGATGTCAGCTGACAGCAGGCTTCAACAGACTGCACTCCTGTGATCCACAGAAGTACAGCCAAATGAGCTTTGGCTGTACTTCTCCTTTAACAGATCAAACGGGAGCAAATAAGAAAAGTTAATTGTTAGGGTATACATATCCATTAAGACAAAGATGTGAGGAAATTGTCTGTTTATGGTGCAGCTGAGACCTAGATGACCACAGGATTTGTAAGCATACATAAGTCTAACAGAAAAGTCATTTGCTTATTTATTGATATCATTAGTATGAAAGGGATTATGAATTCAAAATAATCGACAAATGTATTTAAATTTTGCCGCCTTCGGAAAACACAGACCATGCTCTACCTATGGTCTCCCAGCTGCACATTAAATACAGCGGACCCCAACATAATGTGAATACTTAAGTGCCCAGTTATACCAGTGAGATTTCAGGTGCGATTTGCACATTGAAACCGCATCTGAAATCGCATCTAATGAATGCGAATGTCAGTATCTTAACATGTGCAATTTGCTGCACTGCGGTTCTTGCATTACTTTTTCTGCAGTTTTGTTGCAAGTTCACATCCATAGAATATAATGGAAATCGCAATGCAAATCACAAGAAATTGTTGAAAATCTTCACAAGTAGCAATCAAGTCTTCAGAAATCGCACCTGAAACAGCAGTGAATTTTTTTTTTTTAAATCACAGTGGTGTGACCGGTGACTAAAGTAGGAATACTGGAGCATGTAAACTTGATGAGGTTTGGTTAGTGAACATGTAAAGTACAGAACAATAGATAATTAAGGATATTTCATAAAGGAAATAAATGCGCAAAGTGCAATTACCCACTGAAGAATATCTGACCTAACAAAAGAAATATGGTTGCTAGGGGTTACTGATAATTTTAAACTTCTTGTTTGCACTTTGCATTAAAATAAACTGATTATCAGCAACAATGATGAAAATGTTTCCTTGGTATGATGAAACTATAGCTTTAGAAGTCCTACCTTTTTAATATATTGTCTACAGACTCTACTGTAGCCATAAGTGAGCAACATACAGTAGCCAACACTAGGCAGATAAAGAACCCGTTCAGCAACTGCAAATCCAACTCTGAAAAATAAATTACTGGCAGGGAGAAAAGGTATGACGAGAAATCCTAGCCCCATGGTGACAATCCTGTGGGGGAAACATGAACACTGATCAGGAAATAAACAGAGGCAGTGAGGGCAGCGTTTTTACTGTTTGTCTAATGTAGGATTGAAAAATCAAGGTTTACATGGACAATGACACTTTTATTAATGTTAGCTCTTTTTGGAGCACCGTGGTAAAATCAACACTAGAACATTATTAATTCAGGGCACTGTATTTCTTTAAAATGATGAACATAAAACAAAATCCAACATGTGGGAGCAGCACAACTGTAGATGGGTTACACTTCTAACATGATAATGTGGCTAAAATTGTTGAAAGATTTGTCTTTACTGCCACGGTTATTAAATTTTTACCTTAAATATTTGAGTAGACAGTCATGTTTTATGCTACGTTCAAGGCACACTGTCTTTAGAAACCCCGAAACACTATTGTTTACAACATAGCATTATTATAGATGGTGTTTAGGTTTACATGTAAGCATGCATGTGTCATACCTGTGGGATCCCGGGGAACGGGGAAAGTAGGCAGCGCTACTACATTGATTTTTACTAGCTTCCAAGTGTCAAGCAGCTACCCAATGCTCAAAATGAGCACCAAACAGGGAACACTTTGCAAAGCTAAGGTTTATAGCGCCTCTGTTTCTTTACAACGTTACAGTATACTGTATTTAAATTGCTGCATTCTCTTCTATTAATGTTTACGTAAAAGCATTTTTTGGTTAATTTTAGTGGGGGAAGGGAGAGGGATTAAACCCCACTGTCATATTTTTATTGCTGCCTATACCCCTCTGCTGGGGAGATTCATCATTATTTTTCTAGTAACCATTGTCAATGAAATAGGAAGTGAAAGAAAAGAAATCCAAAATTTTAGAGTTGCCACCAGAGCAAAAGGTGAGAGCAACTCATCCAATGAAGACAGACGTTCAGGTGACAACTCACCCTTACCTCACTTCCCGCCACTTTGATAAAATTTGTTCTGTTGTGTCTCCTGCACAGGAAGTGAATGGAAATCACCCCAAAGGGACACAGAATAAGCAAAAGATAACCTGATAGGGATTTCACCCTTCCTTACATACTTTATCTAATTTAAAAAAATTGGCTCTACATACATTTTAGCTAATACATTACATAAAGAGTATCCCACCAAAATGAATAGGCTTTAAAAGATGAGTGCACTTTCACAGGTACTCTTATTCTTCCTCCTTCTTCTTGCCTAGGACTTGACATAAAGTGACTGCAAAGCCTGAAGGTGTTTTTTACCTGCGTTCTATTCATACCTTCAGTATGCAGCTCCCCCTGCAGCCCCTCCAATACTTGTCCGAGCCCAATTCCAATCCAGCTATGTGCATAAGAGTGGCTGCTGTCCCGGCTCTCTGCCTCATCACTGGCTCAATCACAGTGAGTGAGGAGGGAGTAGGACCGAAGCCAAGCCCCATTCTGTGTTTCTTGTGAGCACACAAAGTGGGGCTTGGGAACAAGTACGCATGAGTGCCCCAAGAGCGCGTGCCTTGCTTGGGGGTACTCAGCAGGAGGGAGGAGCCAGGAGCTGCTCTGTGCAAAACAATTGCACAGAGCAGGAAATTATGACGTTATTTAACATTTTTTTTTTTAAATAGCCTATAATATCACTTTAAAAGTAACCTAATCTTTTCCTTCCCATATATACTTGCCCAAATATCAGTACCAAAATCTTTAATTCTATTGCCTGCGCCTACACAGTTGATCCCTTTAGACTCACTGGGACTATTCTTATGTGTGCATGTAAATATGATCAAATGTAAATATTAATATGAACATTTTAAAAACACTTGTCTGTAGTTATAGCTTATAATCTTACATAGTACAGTATCTACATGGGGCAGCCATATTTGCTTATTACAAAAACACAATTAGGCAGCACACAAGTAAGCAGGGATCTTCCCAAGATTAGTAGGTGGGAAGATCTTTGCCTGTCCTCGAATAAGTCACTAATGGAACAGACCATCTATAATATTTGGTTGATGATGACAGCGATACAAACTAGATACTTTGATCCTTTCTTCACACAGAGAAAAGGATTGGACTATGCTTTTACAGAAATTATCCTGCTTCTCTTAATGTCCCCCTGAATGCAGGCCAGGTACTGAGCAGGCATCTTGAGCGATGGTCAAATCAATTTAATTTCTTTGAATACAAGTCTGTCTGTTCAGCCTGACTTAAAACAATACAATGTGTAGATGACTAAAGCTAGCCATAGATGATTTGAATCTGGGTGGGTTCAGCAGGGACCGTCCACAATTCAAACCATGTATGGGCAGGTTGAATGTACCCAAGTTGATTGATCACTCAACTTGGATACAACTAGCCTGTCGGATTTTACAAGCGATTATTGCTAGTGGCTATTACAGCCGCTAGCAGCATTCACTCTGTTGTCCTGGCGAGGACGCCTTCCTCTCCTCCCCCCCCCGACGGGAGAACACAATGGCTCAGCGGGAGGGATTCCCCCATCAACATCGACTGTGTTCATGAGGGAATTGAACTATTTTCTTTCCTGCAACCCATGGATGTAGGAATGAAAATCGATCTATGGCTGGCTTAAAACTTTTATATTAGTAAAGTCAATAATCCAGTTTCTAATTTCTGTATCTGACATACAGACAGCTATTAATTATAAGTCTGTATATTAAATATACACCATATTGCCAAATGTATTGAGATCTCTGTCTTTACATGCACATAAACTTTCATGGTATCCCAGTCTTAGTCTGTAGGGTTCAATATTGAGTTGGCCCACCCTTTTCAGCTATAACAGCTTCAACTTTTCTGGGAAGGCTGTCCACAAGGTTTAGGAGTGTGTCTATTGGAATGTAGAACCATTCTTCCAGAAGCGCATTTGTGAGGTCAGGCACTGATGTCAGACGAGAAGGCCTGGCTTGCAATCTCTTCTCTAATTCATCCCAAAGGTGTTCTATTGGGTTGAAGTCAGGACTCCGTGCAGGCCAGTCAAGTTCCTCCACCCCAAACTCGCTCATCCATGTTTTTATGGACCTTCCTTTGTGCACTGGTGCGCAGTCATGTTGGAACAGGAAGGGGCTATCCTCAAACTGTTTCCCACAAAGTTGGGAGCATGAAATTGTCCAAAAAGGCTTGGTATGCTGACGCCTTAAGAGTTCCCTTCACTGAACTCAGGGCCAAGCCCAACCCCTGAAAAACACCACCACACCATAATCTCCTTTCCTGGCAACCACCAAACCCAGACTCGTCCATCGTACTGCCAGACAGCGAAGCGTGATACATCACTTCAGAGAACATGTCTCCGCTGCTCTAGAGTCCAGTGGTGGCGTGTGTTACACCACTGTATCCGACACTTTGCATTGCGCTTGGTGATGTAAGGCTTGGATGCAGCTGCTCAGACATGGAAACCCATTCCATGAAGCTCTCTATGCACTGTTGTGCTAATCTGCAGGCCACACGAAGTTTGGAGGTCTTTAGCTATTGTCTCTGCAGACAGTTGGCAACTTCTTCGCACTGTGAGCTTCAGCATGCGCTGACCCCGCTCTGTCATTTTATGTGGCCTACGATTTCGTGGCTGATTTGCTGTTGTTCCCAGTTGCTTCCACTTTGTTATAATACCACTAACAGTTGACCGAGGAATATTTAGTATCAAGGAAATTTCACGGATGAACTTATTGCACAGGTGGCAACCTATCACAGCTGAATTCACTGAACTCTTGAGAGCTCACAAATGTTGGCAGAAGCAATCTGCATGCTTAGGTGCTTGATTTTATTCACCTGTGGCCATGGAGGTGATTGGAACACCTGAATCCAATCATTTGGAGGGGTGTCCCAATACGTTTGGCAATATAGTGTATCTGTGAAAACATGAAAAAGCTGGCAAATTAAAATTTGGAATGGACAATTAAAATGTCTTTTAGATAAATATAACTGAAAATATATGTTCAAATTTTCATAAGGGTTACTGCCAAAACTGGATCGTACCATTACTTGTTTTTGTTTTAAGTTTTTATTCTTCTTCCACCAATACCTATGTAATATTTTTTTCTTTGTAAAGTCTTCTGTGCACACTGATCCATTTGCTGTTCTTCACTCTAAGTTTCTGAAGTTTATTAATGGACAGAGGGTCCATACGGAAATTACTGTGTCATCAACCTACATGTGTTAGGCAATAAGAGGTTTTGGGAAGGGACAAAGAAGAGAAAAGGCCCATATTACACCAAATGAACAAAAAGGCCAGACATATACTAGCATGGCACTCTATACAACAGCTGAGCCAGACAAGAGTATGTGTCGTAAAATAAAGCAATAAAATTATGTTACTGATTATTAGCAGTGTCTTGAAATGCAGGTTTCATGAGCTCCTGGCACCCTACTGATAAAAAAAAGCCATGCTTCCATTATTGGAAATACACAGAGATCTCACCTTCTCGTTTGGCCATTATTGGAGAATAAAGCCTGGTACATTAAGCCAAACAAGCAGAACCAAAGTGCTGCTGGTGCCATTATCCGAAAATCACTGAGAGATTTAATAAGAGGTATGCAGCCCATTGACCAATCAAAGCACAGCCACCAGGGGCACAGCAGCAGCCATCCATTTAGGGAATAATAGTAATTATAGTTTATTACCTGTCATTAAGACAAAAAAAAATATATTTCAATGTCTGATATTCAGTGTTAACAGAAACATCAGTACAGGTGCACTTCATATGATACACTTATTTTGCACAAGTTAAAAAGAAAAATCCCCTAATAAAATAGGACAAATTACAATCTGTGAAGCTAGCATCATTTTGAAATTGCAAAGATGCATCATACATATGGATAAAATTGTGTTTTTCATTTAGCAATATATAAACTTTTAGCATCTAATTGAATTCTATGGATAAACAACATCACTTGGGAAAAAGAAGCTGTTAGTTTTCCTCCTTTTTTGTTCTATCAGTTACATGAAGATGATGCTGCATGAGGTTTCTACTGCAATACTAAAGTAGAATGGAAGGCTTCTACTGAAAAAAAAAAAAAAAAGTACAATGGAAGGCAATACTTTTAAAATTTTGGACAGAGCAAGGGATTGTTATAACTCCAGCAAGGTTTTTTGCCATCCGTGTCTCTTTGAGGAGATCTCCATTCACTTCCTGTACCATAGCCACAACAGGAAGTCAGGAAGTGAAGGAAATCCCTGGTAGTTAACCGAACTAATGTCTACAATGAAGGATTCACCCTCTATTTCAATTATGAACACTAATAATTTTGGATTGTCTTTCACTTTTGGTGATAACGGTCACAAGAACAAAGCATTAGTCACTCTAAAGAGGACACAGACAGCAATAAAAACCTGAATTCCAGCTTTTTGTACACTGGCCCAAATAAACTGTGTCCCTCACTAACACGAGGCCATTGGATGTGCTATATAAACTGTATGTAGCCTCAGCTACATACAGCACTGTGTTCTGGGTATGAAGCGAGACCTTCCTGTCTTATACCCAGAACACAATAGAGTCTGTCTCAGCAGCGCCCAGCCACTTACAGAAAGCAACGTTTTCTATCATTGAATACAAAGCTTCCTCCGATTGGCTGAATCAGAGGTTGTGACATCATCAGCTCGCCTCTCTGACTCAACCAATCAGAGGAAGCTTTGTATTCATTGATAGAATACATTGCTTTCTATGATTAGCTGAGCACCACTCAGACAGACTCTATTGTGTTCAGGGTCTGAGACAGGAAGGTCCCAGCTCGCACCCAGAACACAGTGCTATATGTAGCCTCAGCTACATACAAGTTATACAGCACATCGAGTGGCCTCACACGTTCATGAGGCACATAGTTTGTTTGGGTCAGTTTGCCCCAAACAAACTACGTAAAGAGTACCAAAAGCTGGAGTTCAGCTTTACGTTCTTTGCTTGGAGGTACCTCTTGCCATCTTCAGCTTTAAAGCATTACCTTCAAATGTCCCTTTCCTCACACAACACAACTAATATGTTAGTTAATAGCCTCATCACATTTACTTGACTGGTGTGACACCTTACTTTTTGTGATAATGTCAGGTAAAATAACGCAGAGTATAAGAACTCAACAGATCAAGGACACAAATAGCAATGAACCATTCCAGAGTCAGACAAATAGGAGGAGATTTAAGAAAACTGGTGCACTCAGAATCTGGTGCAGCTGTGCATGGTAGTCAATCAGCTTCTACTTCAGCTTGTTTAATTAGGCTTTCACAATAAAATCTAGAAGCTGACTGATTTCTATGCAGAGCTGCACCAGATTTTGCACCATGCAGTTTTAGTAAATCAACCCCATATTGTCATAACATTTTTGTAACCGGAGCTATAGACAATTGGACCTGTGGTACTGAGTCTGCTGCATATATCACCCTAGCATTACAAACAGTCTAACTTGAGATCTGCATGGTGGTACATAAGGATCAGTTCAGAAAACCTTAACACAAAGCTATAAAATTCTCTAGTTCAGCCATGTAACCATAATTTTAATATCTCATCATCGAGTTTTTTGTAAAAATAAGTATACTTATCCTGGTGTGTTAGATTTGCAAATTGAGCCTGTTGTGTTGTATTCTAATCAAGCACACCCAAACTAGTTTAAAATCACAGTCAAAGGAAAAAGTTATTTTAAGAACTATAATAAAATTATTACAGACTTTGTGTAGCTAGTCGGAAAGTACATGCATAGCCTAAATGTCATCACAGCATATCATGCAATCAAAACAAATACACTTGGTTCAACATCAGAACTGGACAATGTACTGTAGCTAAAAATGGCAAATAATCTGTATGCCGTGCTGACTGACAACCAAGACCACTGTAAAAAAATAAAAACTAATACACAAGAACAGTCTCATTTATCAAATTAAATGCCCCAGTTTGTGTGATTTCCCAACAACCAGTCAGATGGTTTTTATAGTATGGAAGGATACAATTGGCTGCTTTGGCACAACACAAACTGGCTGTAATCAATCAGTTTTTTACACTTTCAAAATTAATACAAATGGGGACCCGATTAGAAAAAGACATCCACATTAGTCTTTTAATAATATAGCTATCTTGTTAATAAGCCAATGATATGTTAGTGAAAGGAAGTTGTGTTTGATACTCACTCTTACAAATAGGCTATCAGCAAATGATGCCGGGTTGTCAACATCAGTGAATGCTGGTGGTCCAGTGCCCATTATACGCCAGCGTATATAAAGCAGACACATTCCCCCAATTGCCAAGAGGCAAATTCTTGTAAACAATCCCTTTTTTAGAAATGAAAACTTCTGTCAAGGAAAAATAAAACAAAAATGCATCAACTATATTAATGTTTATATAGACCAAATGTGCTTTTATCAATCAAATATAACTCATTCTACCATACATACCCACCACAGTCAGTAAGTAGCCCATAGTATTGTATTTCTACATTTACTAAAAAGAAGTGTGTATCACACCCTTTGGGTTACGCCCATATTTTAGCTCAGAATCAAGGCTCATTTAGTGCCAGGTCACATAACAGAGAACCAGGACAATTGCTATTTATCCATTGACAATGTTTATTGTAAAATAAAGATATTAGATATCTGTACAGAATGCATCTCTGGTAGCTCCGATTTTGTTTTGACTATCTGTGCATATGTAAGAGTTTGAAATGTGTCCACATTAAATAAGATTTTAAATAGGTGTGTATCACATATGGAATTGGTATGCCTCTGCTCTGGTAAAATAAGAATGCATGTTATTAAGAGTTACTTCCTAACCACACCTTGCAAATATGGCTTTTGCTCCTTTCAACAAAATGAGTTTGGCTATGTATTCCCACAGCAACAACGAAATCAAAGGGCAGAAGGTTTTTTTCTCAAATAAAAAGACTCTTTCAAGAATGCAACTGAGCGACAGACACGAGATCACACTGTGCAGTAACTGAGGAGCCCAGAATCTGTTCTGAATAGGGAATGGGAAATTGAATACACTCACCTCTGGGGTTTTGTCCCTGTGCAGTACCTTCTGGATACATTCCAGCATGTTTAACTTGCAGATTACAAAGACATCAAATACAGCATTCAAACCCTAGCAAAGACAATAATCTTTTCTTATTTCCATTTCCAGAGACCATAAGCTTCAATGGGGGAGAAAAAAAAAAATCTAAAATATTTAAATTCAACATCAATAAATCAAACTCTTTTTTTACGGTTTTATCAAGAAAATATGAAAAATATATCCCTCTGGGATATTAATTCATGCGTAGCAGCCACACTTTTGTGTGTTGAAATAATGTTCTTATGGAAGCATGTTTTAAATGTTTTGAAAGTTATTTTGTTTTCAATATACTTTCCCTATTTTACCAATTGCTCTTTTCAAGGTAACGTCACTAAGCAAAAAAGTTTTTCGTTTTTAACCATGCAACACAACAAAGATATTATTTTATCAAGTGTGTACGTTTTACGTTATCTAAATTTGTTTTCTTACCAAAACAGTTATGCCTTGCTCTTTACACAACATAGCAACTGCACCAAGAAAAACACTAAATATGACCCAAAACGGTGAGGTATGTTCTCGATTATTAACTGTGGAAGAAAAAAAAAAAAGCAAAAAGATTAATAAAATGCCAGGTTTACACTTTAAAATTTTGTGGAATTTAACACAAGATTAAAATGCATGGTAGATGCATAGGCCTCTGGACTCTAAGTTAAGAAATCTAAAACGAAAATTATAATTTATCCAGTGCTTCATTCAGTCTTGGGCTATCCATTAAAGCTTTACTTTAATATTACAAAGCTTGACTTTTCAAATATGATAGTTCATTATATAGTTGCAAAATGTCCATGATTTTCAGGAGCTGTGTTAAGTGATATATGCCTTTGGAAATGCCTCTGATTTGAACTTCGATTAATCTAAAAGAAATCTGTACCATAAGAAATACAGGGGCTGCCATGTCTAAACAGCTTCTGAAAATGCAAGATACTATGCATGACCGTGTGGATTTCGGTTCTGGATTTTGAGATCTGGATAGACCTCAAACCAGCTGCAATTCCTGCACAGGAATTTACATTAATACCTGCTGCAGCTGGTGTTGAGTGGGTTGCAGGAGCAGGATAGGCTTACTAATTAAAGCAGAGATATAGGCAAAACCTTTTTTTCTCATTTTCAGTAGAGCAAGGGATGAGTATTAGCTCTGTCAGATTCTTTTTGCAATCATCTGGGTACCATTGCGGAGATTTCTTTTCACTTCCTGTCCCATAGCCAAACAGGAAGCGGGAGGAAATCCCTGAAGATTAAGAGAATTCCTTGTGGACTCCCTGGTCACCAGAACCAGTGTCCTCATTGGAAGATTTCCCCTCTATTACTTTTCTGGGTAAAAACTCCATTTACAATACTTCCACTTTCAATGCTAATGGTAAACAGAACAAATAGAGAGGGTGAATCTCCTTAACAGAAATAAAACCTGACAGGAGTTTTAATCCCTCTACATTGTATCCAAAACAAAAAAAAAAATTTTGCCTTTAGTTATACTTTTACAGACTATTGAACTGTCAATTACAGCCTATGGCAGTGGCACTGTATTTTTGTGGAATAGGTCACACAGGAGGACACACAATACTCTGGGTGGGCTTGTCCAAGCCTGTGCACATACCACCTAAGTATATTAAAGGTTCAACTGAACAGGACACATTCCCACCCTAGCATGCATGTTTTAATTTGCATCTGATCTATCATGTAAGCCATGTACCTGGAACAATACTGCAAATAAATCCATGGTTATTTCAGAACTTCAGATTACATACTTTGGTTATAAAGTAAAAATCCCAGATATTTTTGTTATTAGTTGTGAGAGATTTGCCCAAATAGAGACATATCAATAAAAATCTGACGGAGGTTATAACCCTTTCCTACTCCCCTCACAACTAGAAAATATATTGGCTTGAGTTACACTTTGATAAACAGATGAGTCAGAAATACTGAATATTGGTCACATTTTAATTTAGCCAAGAAATCCATTTAGAAATGATTCATGCTATGGCTACTGTTGGTGGAATAATATTGATAATGATAGTAAACAACAATAAACATTAAGTTGAAAGCATGTTGTCACTGTGTTATCTTTGTAATTTTACTCCAGATAAAATTTCACATAATTTCACTTATATGCTCAGCAAGACACTGTAGATTACATTTGTGACCATACAACTCTGACGTTAGAAGAATCAATGTCTTCAGAATCAGAAAGAACATGATGTTATTATGGGAAATGTTTTGGAAGTAAGTGGCATTGATCTTGGGTAAAAATGCAGAGAATCTAACTGCTGAATGAAATATGAAATCAATACACTGGCTCAAAGCAAGCAACCTAATAGGTAACAAGAAGCATCTCTAGGGAAACCAACATTAACTACAGCTTTCATAGAATGTCTTCTAGCTGTCACTGACTCAAATGTGGAAATACAACCATATTGCGTAACAAAATACAAAATTAAATACACTGGCTTAAAGTGGTTCAAAAGTCTCAAAATGTTTTACCTTCATGTATTCCATGCATGAAGGTAAAAACCTTGTGTAGCAGCCCCCCAAACACTTACCTGAGCCCCCGCTTGATCCATTGATGTCCACGAGAACCTTGGTTCTCTGGGGACTCTTACTCCTGATTGGATGAGGCAGCAGCAGGAGCCATCGGCCAGTGAGACAATCATGAGAGGTAGGGGGCAGAGCCAAGCTGCAGCTCTGTGTGTGAATGGAAACACAAAACCGCTGCTCAGGAGTGTGCCTGCTTGGGTGCCTCCATAGCAAGCTCTTGCTGTGGGGGCACCCGACAGGAGGGAGGGGCCAGAGCACTGGCAGGGGAACCCGAGAAGAGGATCTGGGCTGCTCTGTGCAAGACCACTGCACAGAGCAGGTAAGTATAACATGTTTGTTGTTTTTAAGAAAAAAAAAAAAAGACTTTAGTATCACTTTAATACACTTACAGTACATAATCACATTTAAATAATTGGTTATTGCAGAAACCTTTGTGTCATTGTTTAAAAACATACTATACACCTGGAAGCTGGAATTCACTGAAGCAGACACCGCTGTTCCAGTGATCTCCACTTTCCTGTGCTCAGCAGACGGCCTGATGCATTGTGAATAAAGGAGGTTAGTCACTCAGCACAGGTGCCATTCAGAGAAAGCTCTGCATACTCAGAAACAATACAAAGCATTCTCTGATTGGATGAGGTGGAGCAGTAAGGTCACGCTCCACCTCTTCTAATCACATTACACTCTGCATTAACTCAGAAAATGCAAAGCAGCTTATTCACAATACATCTGGCCAGCTGCCTAGCAAGGAACTCAGAAGCAAGTGGAGATTGCTGAAGTAGAGGTGTCTACTTCAGTCATTTCCAGCTTTCAGGGCCATCAGTCAGGTATGGCGTTTACATAGTTACAGTTCTTATAGAAAATAATCACCCCCTTTAAAACAATACCATTTTGTTGCTTTGCAGTCTGAAATGAAGACATGCACAGTTTTTGTTTTATCCAGCTGGATTTACTCAGTGCAACTTAAAACATCCAAGTGAAAAAAATAACATCGACATGTCAGAAAAAAATGAAAAAATAAAAAATTCAAAAACAGAAATCACCAAGTTGAAAAAAGGATCACGCCATTGTGTCAGTATTTTGTTGAAACACCTTTTGCTTTTTAACTACAGCCTTTAGTCTGTTGGGATTTGTCTCTACTAACTTTGCACATCTACAATATTTGCCCACTCTTCTTTGCAGAACTGCTCATGTTCAGTTCAAGTGTTAATAAACCCAGGACCCTGCATCACTATATCTGGAATCCTACAGTACACAGAACATGGAAATATACACACTAAACTGAGCATATGCAGAGTGACTCCTAGAGCTCTGTATGATCAGCAGATGGATTGGGAATGCTTTAAATTTGATGGTGACTGTTTGTGGACTACAGTCTTCAAGTCATTCCACAGATTTTCAATAGGGTTTAAGATTGGGCTCTGACTAGGACATGCAAGGACATTCATCTTTTTCTCCTTCAACCATTGTGTGGTCATTTTTGCTGTGTGCTTTGGGTCACTGTCATGTTGGAAGGTAAACCTTCTTCCCATTGACAACTTTCTGGCAGAAAGCAGTATATTTTCCTCAAGAATTTGCTCCATCCATTTCTCCTTCTATCCTGACAAGTGTTCCAGTCCCTGCTGCAGAGAAATACCCCCATAACAGGATATTACCTCCTCCATGATTTAGGCTAGGTTCACAGCTCCGTGTTCCTGTGGGCCATGTTTTGCGTGGGCATGAGAGCCCATTCATTTGAATGGACTCCCGTGCCTCGGGACACGCAGGGAAGAAGTCCCTGTACTTCTTCGGAAAATGCAGTCCACATGGGAACCTTGGTTCCCAGTGCGGTTGCGATTTCCAGTGCAGGCGGCGTGCCATTAGAATTAATGGCACCTGCCCGCGGGTCCGCATTCCTCTATGCAGGTGGTGCAGCTGCACGGATTTTTGTGCGGATCCGCAGCGGCATCACCCGCACAGATGTTAACCAGGGGTAACTGTAGGAATGGTGTTATTTGGATGGTGAGCTGTATTGGATTTCTGCCAGACACATTTAGTGTTGAGGCCAAAAAAATCAATTTTAGTCTCATCTGACCATAACACCTTTTTCCATGTGGCCTCAGAATCTTCAAGGTGCATTTTGGCAAGGCTCAGTCATGACTGTATGTGGCCTTTCTTGAGGAGTGGCTTTTTTCTTGCAACCCTCACATATAAGCCACAATTACCACTCTTCCTTGCAAAAACACTCCAAATCCGTCAGATTGCGAGGGCATCTGCTATGCACAGCCCTCTTCAGATCACCGCACAGATTTTCAATTGGATTCAGGTCTGGGCTCTGGCTGGGCCATTCCAAAATCTTAATCTTCTTCTGGTGAAGCCATTCCTTTGTTGATTTGGATGTAAGCTTTGGGTTGTGGTCATGCTGAAATATGAAGTTCCTTTTCATGTTCAGCTTTTTGCAGAAGCCTGAAGGTTTTGTGCCAATATTGACTGGTATTTGGAACTCTTCATAATTCCCTCTACCTTGACTAAGGCCCCAGATCCAGCTGAAGAAAAACAGCCCCAAAGAATGATGCTGCCACCACCAAGCTTCATTGTGGGTATGGTGTTTTTTTTGGCGATGTGCAGTGTTGTTTTTTTGCGCCAAATATATCTTTTGGAATTATGGCCACAAAGTTCAACCTTGGTTTTATCAGACCATAACACATTTTCCCACATGCTTTTGGGAGACTTAAGATGTGTTTTTTGCAAAATTTAGCCGAGCTTAGATGTTTTTTCTTCGTTAGAAAAGGCTTCCGTCTTGCCACTCTACCCTATAGCTCAGACATATGAAGAATACGGGAGATTGTTAAAGTTGATCCAGGGAGTACCCAATTGCCTCTTGGGGGATCAGGAAGGAATTTTTTTCCCTTCAGGAGCAAACTCGATTATGCTTTGCTGGGTTTTTTTTGCCTTCCTCTGGAACAACTGTGGGTATAGGATAACTTTTTTTTTTTTAATGGTTGAACTGGATTGT